ATTTGGCACAGCTAAGTATGGAATCAGCTCTAGAAAGCCAGGGACAGACCTGCCAAACGAAGGCTATTTCAGGATGTCTCCGCTATTGTTATTTTCCTTTTAAATAAAAATGAAATAACGAATCACACTGTAACACCGCAATGAATTTTGCACAAACAAACAGGAAGGCATTATTTCTTGACCTTCCCATGTGTGCGAAACTTATTTTGAATTGGAACAAACAACCTGAAAATGTACGCTATTCACACATGGCATCTGATGGAACAGTTGCTTATGAGACTCGGAATGAAGAGAAACTACATCAATTGAGAGAGGGCTGCCAGAAATGGATATTAAAACCCCAAAAGCTTTCTCAGTTTAAGTTAAGGAGTAAAATTAGTCTCCTACAAATCCTACCCCTAAATCAAAAGACGAAAATCATCCAGCTTTAGTATGCAGCCCTTTCCAACTAACCATATGAATAATTCAGTCTAAGAAAGCTACTATTATCCAGCATGGAATCTCTAATATGCAATAGAAAGTTTTCTCAGGATCTCAGAGGAGTTCCAAGATTGCATTTCTCGTGACAAATGGTGGTTATGACTACCTAAAACTCTACCACAAAATATAAACTTGACAGAAGACTAGAAATCTCTTCAGTTAAGCAGTCAGTATCTATGGCCAACTGGAAGAGACATGCCCAACATAAATCTATATTCCATCTTTGATTCAGTGAATAGAGGGTCTACCACATGCTTGGCACCATGATGGGAGATGGGGTGTGAACAAGACAGACATGTACTTTTCTCAAAGTAAAAAGAGTCTCACTCTCCAATGCTGGGCTTGCCAGCTGTAACTGGCAATAACATTTCAGACTGAAGAAGTTACTATTATCATGCACAATAATACCAAGGCATCATTATCCTTAATGTCAGAAAGAAAGAACTCTTAGTTCCAATTCTCTCAAAGTCAAACTATTGATGGGATTTCAGAGAAAAATATGCTTAAATTATTTTCATTAGCAAAAAAAAAAACAATTTTTTTTTTTACATAGAACTTGCTGTAGATGGGATGCTTAATTCCTCCCAAATTCATATGCTGAAATCCTACCTCCCCATGTGATGGTATTAGGAGATGGGACCTTTGTGGGGGGGGGGGTGTTTAAGATGAGATGAGGTCAAGTGGGTGAGGCCTTTGTGAAGGAGATTAGTGCCATTATCCATTATAAAGTCACAAGGGAGGGCCTCCCAGGTGGTGAAGCCGGTTAAGTGCTGGGCAGCACCCCACATGGCATGCAGACCTCTCCTGCCGTGCCCGCTGCTCCCTGCAGCAGCGTATTTCGTCAGTCTGCCTGTTCTGTTCCCCACTCTGGCTCTGGTGAATTCTCTCACCCTCCCGTGCTTCTGACTGTACCCAGTGCTTGTATAAATAAACAAATAAATCTTTTTAAAAAATAAATAAATAAAGTCACAAGGGAGTTTTCTTCCTCTCTGTTTTGGTGAAGTCAGTGGAGAAAAGGATCTGTAGTTCTGAAGAGGATCATCACCGAACCCATCCATTCTGGCACCTTGATCTTGGACTTCAAGCCTCCCAAACTGTGAGAAATAAATATCTGTTGTTTATAAGCCACTCAGTCTATGATACTTTTGTTATAGCAGCCTGAACTAAGACAGAGCTGGTGTGAACTGATTTTTTCGTTTTGTTTTGTTTTATTTGCTGTTAATGTTGTTTTGCTTCTGTCTTCTCTCCTTGTAGATCAAATTATGAGTGAATTGGAGTTGAATAACATTACCAGACACAAAATATTCTCACTTAGAGATTTGGCATAGAGCTGTTCCAGACAGACATCACCTTTATCATAATCACCATCCTCATAATCATCATCCTCAAGCAGTGCCTGCCCTGTCAATCTATTTATTATATTCATAAAATATGTTAGGATCACTCAAATGGCACCACAGTTTTGTTCGTAGAACGTATCTCAATATGTATCTGCATATATTGAATAGTTAGTGAATCAGGCACTTTAGTACTTTACAGACCCAAGTTGGCAAATGAAGATGGGCTGGGGCTGTATGGAAGTGTAATAAAAAATCTAATAAAACATTTGAGAAAACTCACATCTGTGGACAGATGGGAAGCATTATGTAATACAGGTCATTGCTACAGCAACCTCTAACCCCCCTGGCTACTGCTGCTGGGCCAAGGTTGAGTGCAAAGGGCCTCTGTGAGTTTTCTTTCTCTGTCAGCATTCAGAGAAATCATTTTTAATCTGTCTAAAATAAACTATGCAAATAGAGAGGCTTTGACCCACACCCATGAAAATAATGTACAAAATACCCCAAATCTTTGACCCAGGAACCAAGGTCTCTCTGCTTATATTTGTTTGTTTTTTTGAAAACATAATATTTCCATGAATATACTTTGCTACTTGCAGAAGCTTTTCTCTCTGAAAAACACACTAGATGTTAATGCCCAGGTGGGCTCCTCTGAGTAGCGTGGGGAGTAATTCCAGAGGTGATCAAGCAATCAGTTATACAAACCACAAAACAGAATGAGAGAGCACTCTGGAATTTTTAAAAGGCTACATTCACCAGACTCTGTGAGTATTATGAAATTAATACTCAGGAATCCTCACTTTAAAGAGAATTTAATATATGTGTGGGTGTGTATAAATTTTACTGAATTTCAGAGTAACATTAAAATGTCTTCTTTCCATCTACTAATTAATCTTCAAATTGATATTCTAGAATGCTTTTCTTTCCTGGGTGCAAATTTGTCTCCTATGGTATTAAATACTTAGGGTACACAAATATGGACAGTGGGAGTTAGGAGAAAGAGGAGAATCTATTTCAGCAGCATCTGAGTGAAGCACCATCAAAGAGAATTTTGGCAAGTGTGTCTTCCCAAGGGAAAAGATGGAACAATTGTACAAGCTTTTTGGGTCACCTGTACTTGGATTCAGCCCTATCACCTTTTTGGCCATGTGACCCAAGACATGTCCTTAAACATTTATGACTCATCCCCTCACCTGTAAAATGAATATAATAACACCTACCTCCTAAAATTGTTGTGAAGTTTAAATGAATTATTATGTCTGAAGCACGAAGAATAGTGTCTAGTACTTAATCAATGTTAGTAATTATTATTGCTCTGTTTCAGACCAAGTTACAACAACAACAAAAAAAATCAACTAAAGTTGTTGTTCAATTTAGAATCCAAGTAGCAATGCCAGTGAAAATCAATGACCTCAAAGTGCTTAGTAAATGTGCCATGAGTCAGTTCTTAAAAATTTTCATTAAATGCTGGATCATTTATCACACACTTGTGGTTAGCTCTCTAAGACTCTTTTGGTCGCTCAATGCCAAAGAACTGCTAAAATGAGGACTATCACTGAAAAAAGGTGTGTGTCTAAGTCTCCCAGTACGAAGTCCTAAGAACAAGGGCTGCAAAGTAGAGATTAACTACTAAACACATAGGTTGGAAAGATGAAGTTTCCCAGGTCAGAAAATACAGAATGTCATAGATGAAATTAGAACTTGGTACTGTGGCTCATAGAATACTTTATTATAAAACTTTTTTGAGAAGTATGGCTTTGTAGACAACATTATAATGAATGCTGCTATACCCATATCACCCTGCTGAAACAAAAACAAAGCATTCTGAGTAGACTCAGAGCTTCCATGTTAAGCAATTACAAAAGACACCATTCTTGTTAGAATGGAATGTGAGTGATTCCCTTGGAGGATAACACATTGTAACATGCTGAAGGGTATCCTCTGGGGTTGAGTGATGCAGCAAGCAACCTGGCCCAATCAAAGAACTCCAGCAACCACTTCCATGTATCATTCAGGAGCCACCATCTTGAATTTGGTTATCCCCAAACCTATTTCTATATTTTTAATATAGATAGATAGATAGATAGATAGATAGATAGATAGATAGATAGATAGATAGATATAGATACAGATATATACTATCTATATAGTTTTGAGCTTCATATAAGCAGTATCAATCTTAATGAATCCTTGGGACCCTCTTCGTTTCTCAACCGCTGCAACTTGTTTTTTTTCTGCAACTTGGATTCAACATTGTACTTCCAAGATATATTCCCATGATGTCTACAGCTCCAGTTCATTCATTTTCACTGTTGAATAGTATTTCATTATATAATTAAACCAGTTTATTTACTTATTCATTCTCTTCTTTATGAACAGTTAGGGTTCCTTTTTTCCCATTCTTTTTGAATGCAAGCAAGTATTCCATAAATGTCAACTATGACTTCAGGTCTTATTTCACTGTACTGGTGAGTAATAACTATTCCGTACCCTCCTTGCGTTCCCTCTGCAAATCAGTATCTAAAAAGCTTAAAACTATATTAATCAAACTTCCTCACAGCAAGAAATCTACATATGATTTAGGTTAGGCCAGTCAGGAAAGGTTTCCAGCCTGCAAGTAAGAGCTATTGCACACCTGCCATTTCTGCTGCTTCTGTTGATACTCATGTCATAGAGGTCCTGGATTTCCCCACGTGATGACATTCAGTCCTAATGTCCAGTCATTTCGTAAGGTCTGAGAAGCAGGGATAGATTTTATCTGAGTCATTGCAGATCTGGAACTAGCCACAGCCATTTTCTGATGCTGTGAGTTTCTAGACTGTGGCAGCTTCCCAATCAGGGTAGTGGGTGATTGGTTTTAGGACTGGCAGCTTCCTGATCAGAGGAGAGTTGGGAGTGTAACGTTTCATTCTCTCCCTGAAAGCACAGTAGATTTACCATGATGTCTAAGCTTAGATTTTACTGTGAAGCTTAGACAGGTCCCTGATGGTCATTGGTTCTTATAAAAAGTGCAAAAGCAAGGTATTTTAACTACCATAAATTAAGGCTATTTTCTCCTTCCAATCAGATTTCCATTCAGTTACATTTGTTTTCAGAGAAGATGGAGTGGCCTCACTCACTTGTGAGACCCAGTGAAGGAGAAATTGAATTAGGAGCAGATGTAGGTTAGGTTAGCAGACATACCTTTGTATTTGCAGTCACTCCTAATGATTGCTGTGTGGACATATCCAGCTCTGTGACATGAGAAGCTGATCCGGCGATCCTACAGCAGTCTGAGGGTGTTCTACAGTGTAGCACTAGAGGAGTTGGGAGTAGAGGAGTGATGACATTTAAAATTAACACAGCCAGGGCCTCCCTGGTGACCTAGGGGTTAAGTCTCAGTGCTATCACTGCTATGGCCTGAGTTCCATCCCCATCCAGGGAGCTGACCCTCATATGGTCCAGTAGACCTCTCCTGTCTCACCTGCTGCACCCCTTAGCAGTGTATTTCAGTAAATCCGCCTGTTCTCCCCAGTCTGTCTCTAGCGAATCCTCTCATCCCCTGCACCTCTGGCCAATACCCCAGTTCTACACAAAGATAAACTTAAGAAAATAATAAGTGTAAATAAAATTAACACAGCCAGAAGTTAATCTATGGAAAACTTCCAAATATTATAGTTCATATAAAAAAAGCCTTGATAGTGGTTTCCCCAGAATTTTGACAGTACCAAAAATTTGCATGGCATTATCAATAAATAACTTGCAAAGATGAAAGTAATTTTCTAAACCACCAATAATCTAAAAAAATTCAGTTACTCACAACAAAGGAAACATTGAATTATCATTTTCCTCTCTACATAAAAGTGATACTACAAAAAATTATTACCAAATAAATAGGCAACCGAAGGGTACAAATGTAAGAGAAAAATTATAAAGTTGCATTAAGTCTTCAGTTAACAAAAATATATTACTTTTCTGGATTTTGTGATGTTTGAGGTAAATGTCAGATTTTTGGATTTTGTTGTAACGTCTTCTCTTACCATGAATAAATTTCGAATGTCATACCTAATTTTGTCATTTATAATGAATTTTTTCCTTAAAAAGCTGCCAATAATACATTCAACTCATGCCTTCAACAAACTGGGTCCTACTCTGTCAATCATGAATCATTTGCTTATACTCTTCTAAAATGGATTCTATTCTCTCAGTGGAATTCTAAATAATTAGGTAATTAGTATAAGGTAGGTTGTAGTCAACAAAATTTCAAGGATACAGACAGTAGAATTCACTATTTCATCTGAGTGGATTTGCAAGTTGTGATAATTCCATTAGCAACAGATGAAAAATTATGCTTGCTGAGAATGAAGTGCCTATCAAAGCTGGGCAGACCAGTTGGCTGATGCACAAGCCCTTATGGTAGTGATGAGGAATGAGAAAGGGGGGGGGGGTGAGGAGACAAATTTCATCTGCATTGGGAGTGGGGGAGAGAGAAAGAGAGAGAAGGAAGAAATGAGGAACGGAAGCAGGGAGGGACCAGGCGCCTCACTTTAAATTCTTAACTCAGTAGAGATAGAAAGGTTCTCAAGCTGTGGCATTCCTAAGAATCCCCTGAAAAGTTTGATATAGCACAGACTGCTGACTCCTCAACACCCAGGTTTTCCAATTTGGTAGAGCCTGAGAATTTGCATATCCAACAATTTCAAGGAGATGCTCAAGCTGTTGATCCAGGCATCACACTTGGAGAACTAGTGCATTACCTCTTGTACCTGCAGAGCAGACAACTAAAAATCAGATCCAGCTAGTTACTAAAATACAACTTAAATCCACAGCCTCACTTGCCTGTTATGTGAAAGCACACTCGTTAGGGAAGAGCCGGACACTAGGAATTGGAATGGGGACATCTGAATGGACCTGATGACTCTAAGTACCTGAACATCCAAGGCCCACTTATATGTAAACTTCAAAATCACGAAGTATAAACAGTAGCTGTTATCATTATTATTATTCATCAGTGGAGAAATAGTTTATTAGTATGTAAAAAAGCATGACTTGAACCTTTTATTGAAATCATAACAAGGCTAATGTTAATTAGCATTAGTTCACATTAGCTAATTAACATTAGCCTTGTCACAGACACAACAAATTAACATTAACCTTGTTAAAGACACAACAAATTTCAAATGATAATAGCTTATAAAGCAAAGGTTTATTTTTTCACTCACATTTCATGGGAAGGCCTGATCCACTACAGCTATTTTTGGCAGTGGGTAGGTTGTAGCTCTGCTTTATCTGTCTTCACATTCTGGAACCCAGGCTAAAGAAGTAGCCCCTTTGTGGGACATGGCAGAAGGAAAAGAGTCAAGCACACAATGTCTCAAACCTTCTGCTCAGACGTGAGCTATACCATGCCTGCTTGCATCCTACAGGCCAAAGGAGTTGTGAGACTAAGTTCAATATCAATGAGACAAAGAAGCAGAGTAACTGAATGAGCAAATGGATACTGGCCAGACCTAGGCAATAAAACTGACCCACAACCTGGGCAGTAACCAGCCCAGGAAGCCAAACCACAACCTCTGCAGCAATCGACCCAAATGGTCAGATCGTGGTCAATGACTGTTGGACTTTTTTTTTTTTTTTTTTTTTTTGGCCCTTGCTTCCAACTCAGGATCAACCAGAGAAAGCTAAATATGCTCTCAAACCAATCACATAACACTCCTCGCTTCTACTTACCCACCTCCAGCCTCCCCAAGCCAACCACCTCCAATCAGCATACCTGAAGCCGCCCCTTTCTTCACTAATAGCTCCCCAACTCCCCTGCTTGCCTTTGACTCTCTGCCAAATGCAAGTGATGAAGGCTGACTGCCCTGCTATATGGCAAACTCTGAATAAATAGTCTCTGTTTGTTCTCATTTGGGTGGTCTTTGCTTATTTCCCACAAAATACATTTCCCTCCTATGGTGGCAAGGTAGAGTGCGGAGCGTTACTGCAAATCACATGGCAATGGGTGAGGATGAATAATCTTCTTTGAGGGAAAGGGAGACTAAACAGAGGGTGGACAATAATGAAGCAAGTCCCCCAAAGCTGAAATCCATTCCAAAATCAGGCCTGCATTCCATCGCTCAACTGTTAACCAAATCTAATTGCTTTCTGTTTTTCAGCCTGGTGGGTTAAATCAGATAATGCGTGACCACTTTGATATAATAAAATACTAACCTGGTCTTCCCAGATTAGTGGGTCTGTTTCTCCAGATAAAAAGCCCCAGCAGCGCAGGCCCAGCTTTGTCCACAAGATATGCACACATGAGAAGGATGTGACCGCCAGCCCATAAGTGGATAAGAGCCTGTCAGTACCAAAGGTCTTCAAGCAACTCTGCGTCCCTCTGTCTCCCTGTCCACTCTGCCCAGTAATGTTCTGCAGAACCTGCATTCCTTTGCCCCCAAGCCCCTACCCAGTCAAAGAAATTCAACTCGTTCTCCCAAGCTCTGCTTCCCCACATGTGATAGAAGCTCATTCTCCTGGCTTTAGGGGAAGTAGATTTGAGTCTTGGAGCTCCTGCTTCCTGCTGACCTCCTCCATATTAAAGTCTTTTCCCAAAACCCTGAGTGGCATATATTTGGCATTTATGCATATCAGGAAGAGTCCTGGATTTCTAGGTAACAAAATCACAATCTGCCAGAGTTTACTGCTCTGTATTATTGATAACCATTTATTAAAGTTTCCTTGTCACACACTGGCCAGAAGCCAATGCCACATCTTTGCGGGGTTTTGTTATGCAGCATTTCATTCCTGGTACCAATCTGAGTATTAATCACCTTGCGGTAATAGAATGACACACCTAATCTCTGTGGCTTAGAAAGTAAAGGTTCATCCAGCACATATGTCATAGGCTACAGGTAGGTTCTGACTGTTACCCACAAGATTTCTCATCCTCTGACCCAGGCTAAAGAAGTGGCTTCTAGTGGCACATGAAAGACAGTGTTACAGTCAACCACCCAACAGCATTTATCACATCTGCTCAAAGACCATTGGCCAGGGCCTCCCCGGTGGCACAGCGGGTTGAGGGCAGCATTGTGAAGATGTCCGCAGCCTCTGCATTGTGGGTTCAGTTCCCGGCTGGCCAGGGAGATACCCACATGGCGCGGTAGACCTCTCCTATCTTGCCTGCTGCTCCCCTCAGCAGTGTATTTCAGACGGCTGCCTGTTCTGCTCCCCACTCTGTCTCTGGTGAATCCTCACCCTCCCACGTGGGAACTGCAGTAGGTAAAAAAGTACAATCCTCTCACAAGGCAAGAGTGAGCAAATAATTAGGGGAATAATATATTTACCACCTTAGTAAAGAATAGAATCATTTGGGAAATATGTTGTTCTCTCTTGATGTTGATAAAATAAAATAATAAATAAATTGATTTAAAATCCCCTTTAAAACTTTGATATAAAGGAAAAGATAAAAACAGGCCATGTAGCATTTCCTTATGTTCCCATTGCTTTGCTTTTCACTCCCACCCTTGTCATACATAAAGTTGTAATATGTCCCATAGAAGAAAAGAAAACAATGTTCCCCATTCACTCTGCTCACGTGGCGTCCTAACACCACCAAGACCACGGAAGGAACACTGCGTAGCCATGGAAGGATGGGATCGAAGATTCCACCTTCCAAGGACAAAAGCTTAGTCCTCCCTTTTCAACTGTCACCCAAAGGCTAAGCCAGTTCCCAGAATGGCAGACAGGATGGAAGGTCCTATCTAGCCTTAGTAACGACAGTTCCCAGAGTCTAAGAAAAATCTGTCCTCCAGACTGGTGGCTCAGCGCCCACTGCTCTCCACGTCAGTCATTTCCTATGGTCTGATTTGGGGTGCACAGACCCATCTGACCTCTTAAACATGGTCGCTGCTATTTTAAATGTGCCTTTATGCCAAAGAGGAAAAAGGTGTCTCCTATAGGTGACAAAGTAGGAAAAGCACCATGGGAAAATTAAAAAAAAAAAAAAAAATGGCCTTCGCTCTCATTTGGTGAGTTAGTAAAAGATCCCTGCCCTGCTGAGGGCAAGCACATGCTTAATTAAAGAAAGTACCTTGGCGTCGTGAACCCCCCCGCCCCCAACTCCCAGCAAATGTAGCCCAAAGCCAAGGGCTTGCCAAGCGCAGCGTGGCTTTGATGGCAGCCCCCACAGCCCTTTGGACCTGGTGCCTTTTGTTCAGAGCACAAATACGAAATTATGAGTGACAGCCTTGCGTTTGACATTAAGCATGGGACACAAAAGTCTCAAGTAAAACTTGTCCAAATGAATATTTTCCCCCAATAAATTCATTCTCAGCTT